TTGATTTCATTTTCCATAGATATGGTAATGAGCGATATAAATCAATAAATCCTGTCATAAATTGTTTAGAACAAGTACGTAAGTCTCAATTTTACCTGCACACCGTCCACACGTACAAGTTCAACTGCATAAACAGATTTGCGCAAGTAATACTTTCAGCAGAGCAACGTTCACACAAGCCGCACTTTTTGGTGTTTTACCGTCCACACGTTACGTATTCCCGGTACAAACCGGTTTGCACAAGTAAGACCGTGGCGGAGTGGTGATACTTGTACGTTGTACGTATGGCCGGGGGTTTAGTGTCTTTTTTCTGGAGTGGAGAGTAAACCGTGAACTGAGAAGGTCGTGGACTGTTCATACGATCACAATTCATCAGTTGATTCCTCGAAGCCGACCAGCACTATCCAAGAAGACTGGAAACAGGAGAGTAAACAGTTTAAGATAAGAGACGTATTCATATAAAGCCAATACTGTCGGTAAAGAGAACGTGGCTCTCGGAAATGTAGTGCGTGTAGAGCATATTAATTTGAAAACTTCATACCACGGATTTATCGAAAACCCCTGATTAAAAGAAAAAACGCCGAGAGACGTCAAAAGATTTGTCAAGGGGGACAACTTTTTAACCAAAAACTACTTCACCCCCTTTCACCCTCGGCCACCCAGTGTCATTCCCTTAAACATTTAAAATGTTGGTCAAGTTCTTTCTTGAAAAAATATCGAGTTGAACTATATGGAGACTGATGAAGATGGGACTGAAGCTGGTGGACAAGCAAATGAGGTGAATGTATCACATGAAGAAAAAGGATTTTGTGTGAAAGATATTTTAAAGATGAACGACTAAACTATTTCGAAACAAGAAAAACTCATGAAAGAACTGTATGAAAAAATAGATAAACTAAATAAACAAATTGAGAATTTACAAGATACATCTGCAAATAACAGTAAATCTTATGCAGACATGGTCAAAAGTTCTACACATGAAAACACCAACATTACTTCGCCACCTCCAAAAAAAAAAAACGGTAAAATATACTAAAAATATAAACACAACAACACAACCGGAAAATACAATTGTTATTAAACCTAATAATACAAATCAAAGTTGTAGGCAAACAAAGAAGGAATTGAGCAAATATATAAGTCCAGCCAAAATGAATTTGTCTATTAAAAAAGTAAATGATCTGAAAGATGGAGCACTGAAAATTGAATGCAAGGATATCGATGATATCAAAAAGTTAAAATTGGAAATAGGAAAAAGTGTTAGACAGAATTATAAAGTAAATGTAGGCCACAAAAAATTACCAATGATTAAAGTCGTGGGTTTCAGTGAAGACTTAAACAATGAGACTTAAAAATGAGAAACGACGTTATAAATAGTGACGCTTCGATTAAAGTAGTGGCAATCAAGTAATGAAATTTCGGTATATGGCAATTTTGGAATTAGATAGATCGACATTTGGAGCAGTAATGAAAGCAGGAGTTTTGTTTGTATCCATGGATGTTTGTACAATTTGTCTGCATTACGATCTTCTGAAGTGTTTTAACTGTGGCGGATTTCACCACACAGCGAAGAATTGCACCAGGACCAGTATTTGTTTAAAATGTGGTAATAGTGTTTTCATCAGGTTCAGAACTGTACGATATCAAAAGATGAAGTAACATGTCCAAATTGCAGGGAATCAGATTTGAAGAACAACACAAATTTCGATATAAATCACTCATCCTTCCACTATACCAACATGGTCCAAATCGAATATGAAAAATCAAAAAATAAAGTTTCTTATGGTGTCAAATAGCAAATACAGGCCAAAAAATATTCTAAGATTGTATACCATATACATATTCAAGGATTTTTATCGCACAGGGATGAAGTTATACATTTCTAATATTAGTTAAACCAGTAGTTCTTTGCTTGACTGAAACACATATTACAGAAGATATTGAAGATATGGAGATTGATTGATGATTATGATGTTATAAGAGTAAACACAGTTTCGAAACATACAGGTGTCATACTAATAGAAACTGAGTATGATTGAAGTAAAAACACATAATACTGTAGTTGTTGATTATCAATGGTGGTATATTAATTTTGAAATGTACACGTTTACTACAGATCTCCAAGCTGTAATATTAGCCGATTTTTTGACTTTTTGAGAGTGTTTGTGCAAAACAGTATTATCGAAATTGCTCCACTGTGCACTTGAGAGACTTCAATATAAATTTTAATAATCAAGATTTTTATGTAAAAAAATCTAAACAAGTACTGAGCTTTCATGGTCTATGGCAAAAAGTTAATGACTACACAAGGATTACAAACTTTTCACGAACTAAGATCGATTTAATAATAACCAATGAGAAGAATTTGAGTATTAAGGTTATACATAAGTACTCCAAAAATAAGCGACCATTCGTGGATATCTTTCGAGGTGGAAAATATGTTTAATGAAAGAGAATCAAGAGAAATCACAATTATTGACCATGAAACGTTACGAGAGTCACTCTTACAAGCCAATATCACTGAAATTTTTGATAATGCTGACAGTTCTCAAAAATGATGGATTGTATGGAGAACTGCATGAGAGACGCACAAATTAGGAAAGTGGTATATCAAAGGAAAAAGCCAACACTCTGGTTTTCACTCTAAATTGACGCGTGATAATGACTATAAAAAGTTTATGATCACTCAAGCTGAGGAAGATTGGATACAATATAAGAAATTAAGAAACAAGTGTTTAACAAATCTTAGGAACGAAAAGAAAAAATATCATGAAAACAAAATCGAGAGCAATAAAAATAACAGTAAAATGAAGTGGAAGATACTAAAAAATATTGTATTACCCAGTAGGAAGAATGAATTATCAAGAATGTGCTTCGAAGATGGTATAGTAACACATAATTGCAGAACGAATGAATGCTTATTTTAAAGAAAGTATACATGCGATAGTGGAATCAATATCACATGCAAGTTACTTGTAATTCTTCTAGGAGAAAATTCCAAACAATAAATATCTGTCAAAAATGGTTATGAAGGAATGTTTTAACTTTATTGGATAGAAGTTATTATTGTTAGTGAATCACTGTTTAGTGTATGGCGAATTTCCCTCAAAATTAAAATGTTCTACAATTACTCCTGTTCTAAAAGTGCTAAATTCTCAGTTATATACAAACATGCGGCCCATTAATTTACTGACAGATGTCGAGAAGCTCTTAGAAGGAATCATATATGAACAAGTCATTAAATATATTGAAGAAAATAAGATATTGACAAAATTTCAAGCAGGATTCAGAAAAAAGTTTTCTACTGAAACAGTAATTCAAATGGTAGAAGAATGGAGGCGAAATGTGGATGAAAAAAAGTTTACAGTAACATTGTTCTTAGATGTCAAGAGAGCATTTGAGTTTGAGACTATTGACAGGGAGAAGTTGTTAACGAAATTGCATTGCTATGGATTTCAAGGTTCAGTATTCAACTAACTTATTACAACATTATTTATTCAATAGAAGTCACAGAACTAAAATTAACAATAGATTATCAAACATTAAAAGTATTTCGGTAGGTGTACCACAGGGTAGCAAATTAGGTCCATTACTATTTATTTTATATATTAACGATATTCCTTATATTTTACAACACTGCAAAATTCAAATATTTGCTGATGATACATTAATATATTTATCAAATAAAGACATTCAAACTGCAATAGAGCTGTTAAATAATGATATGAAAAACGTAATAAATTGGTTAAATAAATAAACTTAAACTAAACACAAACAAAACAAAATATATGCTAATAGGGAAATCTTTAGATCAAAATACGATAATTAATCATGAAAAAATTGTGTCAATCGAATCATTTAAATATTTGGGCATATACGTAGACAGTAAATTAAAATTTGAAGGGCATGAATATATTATTTCAAAAATACCCAAGAAAATAAATTCCTTTTATAGAATTTCGCATAGCCTAAGCATTTATTCTAAAAAAATTGTGTACAACACTAACATTCTTCCTCATTTTTATATTGTTCGACTATTTTGTTCACTGCAAATGAAACTGTATTTTCAAAATTACAAATATTACAAAATGAAGCTATGAGAATCATCTGAAATAAAAATAAATATACTAGAATAAATTTGATGCTGAAAGAACTACAATGGTTAAATATCAAAAATTTTATAGCCTACTTGGTTTTCATTTTCATATTCAAGTTGAAAAATCATCTACCAAATTACTTAGAAAATTGTATTGTATTGAACAATGAGTGCCACAATTATTCTACTAGAGGAAGTATAGTCTTTCATTTACAAAAGTGCAGTAGCAATATAACGAGCAAGTCAGTATTTCAAAAGGGATTGTACGAATTTAATAAATTAAGTAATGATATCAAGATGTGTGTCAGTTTGAAAATGTTCAAAGGGAAATTGAAAAAATATCTCATGGAAAACCAGAATTCATAATAGTGAAATTTTGTATAAAAATATATAGTCTTGAAGACATAATATATTTTGTGATATACTGTGTAATATGGATATATAGACATTGTAGCATTAATGCTAAATAAATCTGAAACAAACAAACAAGGGTAATCGAGTGATAGCTTGTTTGAAAGTTCTTTCTAAGTCCGTTAGTTTGACGTTTGATTTTTTAAAATCAGTCTATTCGTTTTCGAGAAAATAATAATAATAAATTGCTTCTATTGTTCATGTAAGTACAGAAAGAATAAACATAATTCTGATGCAGTGAGCAAGCGGAAAGGTTCGCTGCAAGCAAGTTTTATTCATTACTGCCAACGGTTACAGACTGATACAAAGATGTCACTTGTTGATCAGCTGTTCACCTCAGTAGACGTCAAAACGTGATGGATACTCGTGAAATAGGATGTACCAATGGTTTCGCCAAGCTAATTTTTATCACCAAACTCGAACGATGAAGACGATAGGGATGACCTTACCCACGCTCGACTTCCAGTTCAATAGGTAAGGCAAAAAAATTAAGTTTGATACTTTTACCATTTTATTTAAATTATAAAAATAGAAATAACTACTTGGAAGAGGTATAAGGCGGCGCAGATGTCTTGAGACAGTTTGCTTGATCCGAGCAAGGTGGTGGCATGAACCTTTTGTGGTCAATATAATTCGCTAGTAGTCTTTTCAGATCGTCATTCTGCTTTCTAAGACTTACAACCTCATCACAAAGAAGCTTACGCTTCTTAAGTATCTCGTGGTAGCTTGTCATTCCTTCCAGAAGGGCATCCCATACTCTCTGCCTATCAGCATTAAATACTTCTTTGTATTGCTCCCAGAAGTAAACTATGTCTTGATTATCCAGCAACCGCGATATTGTATTCCGTTTCCGTTCAAGTCTTTCTTTTGTTGTGGACAGTCCTTTACCTGGCTTAAAGTAGCCCGCAACGAACTCTTTTAGAGCAATGATGCTGTAGATCGAACTGATCACCAAGGGATGACTGAATTGGCATAAGAATCTTTCATCAGCCAAGAATATTTTCTTCTTGGTCACTCCTCTTAACTCGTTAGCATCCATGTAATATTGGTCCAACATAGCTTCTCCACAAATTTCATCTAAAGCATCACGCTCGGGTAAACCTCTTTCCTCCAAGAATGTTTCTGAAGTAACTAGCTCCATAACAACTTCATCAATGATCTCTTCAGGTTGCTGTATAGCATAATACGCTTTATCTAGCTCCTGGATGTCGATAGCTTCCTCTTGGTCACCACCAGTCAATATAGTCGACAGACGAGAGACTTGGGAATTGAATCTGCTCAGCGACATACCTTCATTTCCTTCGTGACCAGCACATACTGGACAATGGGCATATGAGACAAAGTAATCAATAAGTAGATCTATATCCTTTTTGTCTTTTACCTTTAGTGACTCAAAGATGTTGTTCAATGTAACTAGAGTATTCTGGTCATCTTGGTAGCCCTTTAGCAAACGTCTCAACTGTTGTTCTGAAAGAAAACCCGATTTGTCAGACAGCTGCTTCAAAATCATCTTTGCTAGTCTTTTATATGTAGAGTTGGCATCACATTCTTCTGGAGGGGGTAGATCTGCTGCTGGTTTTCGGCCTGCCCGTGGGAGCAAATTCTTACTAGAAACTTCGCTCTGCTTACTTACCATACCTACAGAGCTCACACGTCTACGATAAGATAATGTTGACGTTATGGACGGATGAAGTATCGCCAAAGCATTTTGATAAGATAGTAATTGGGTCTTTGGAAGAACAATTTTGGAAGGAGGCTCCCATTCAATACCCATCTGTTGTTCATGCAGAACTCTATCAGTTTCTATAATTCTTTTCAATATCTTCTCTACTATAGACTTGTTAACTTTCCATACTTTATGGAATTTCTCTTCGCTGATTGTGGCAAATCTATTTGCTTTCGCATCAATGTCCATTATGCTTCTATGCAATCTTTTTATTCCTTCTGTCAGATTTTTGATTTGGTTATTTGTTGAAGTTTCATAATCAGTTATTTTGTCTTTTATGCTGTTTATTACATCCTGGAGCTTGTTCATCCGTCTTTTATTCTGTGACTTGATTATGAGGTTCTCATCATCCCTTTTTTTCAGTATTTGATAGTTGTAGTCTAGTTTTTCACTGTTAAAGAGAGCTAGAGTTTTGATTCTTTGCAATTCTCTTTGCAAGAACTCGATATCTTTTTCAAGTTCAATTTTCGTTTTTCTGAACTTTTCCTGGTTATCGATGCGTGTCTGTGTCATCTTTTCGTTAAATTCTTCCAGCCGCTGGAATTTCTTTTCCGAGTTTAAACTTTCTTGCTGTTCACGTCTCTTGTTGAGATCATCCCATTTGTCATCATTTGATTCGATGACATTTTTCCTTTCCATCATAAGTACTTCTTCGATTAGCTCATACTCCTTTTGGTAGGCCTTCCTCATAAACGTTATCTGCAAAAATGAAAAGGTGAGGTGATACTTAAGCAAAAGTGCAGGTTATTAATGAGCCTTAAATATCAGTTGTCATTCCCCCATGGGCACGTCCAACTTGGTGGGATGCTCCAAATAACCAAAAATCAAACGAAATTTCCAAAAAATGCATGGGGATTTACTTGAGTGCGGCAGATTAACATAAGGAGTGATACCTCGCCTCCTGTCGAACATCTTCACCATATACAGGGTGTTTCAGAAAGACGGGCCAATATTTCCGGGTAGAAAGTATATCCAAAAATATCAAAAACAGTTCCTATAAATATGGGTCCAAAGATGCTCCCCTACAGAGATACAGGGTGTTGAATGAATACCAGGACAATAATCGTAAAAATTTTCTACGCCATAGATCTTTTCGGAGAAAAAAGCGCGTTTTATAAAATACCATTCAAATTTCTAAAAATTTTGACTCTTAAAGACTTTTTATCAGGTCACTCGTTTTGGAGATTTTAGGTTTGAATATTTGGGGTAAAAAAAATATTATGAAAAGACTTAGCCTCCTCAATTCTAAAAACACCGTTAAGCTTGATATTAGAAACACTCTATGGCATGTAAAGAAACCGATGACACTTTACAACATTAATTGAATAATACAAATATGCGTATATTATCTCATTCAGTAGCATATAAGCTTACCGTACATTGTTTATGCACGCCACTGATTTGGTTTAGTTTGGTTGTGAAAAAGGGTATTTTCCAAAGAGTCAGAGCATCTTTGTGGCGTAGAGCATGGGCTTGTGTTGAATCCAGAGGTGGTGACATTCAACACCATCTTTAGGTTGGATTTTGTGGCATTTATTCAGCATTATTTTGTGTTCCCAATGTTATGTCCTCATAAATTTAGAAATAGTAAGTTGTATCAAATGTAATGTTTAATGTTGTCGTGTTTAATTCTCAAAAATAAAAATGTGGGCAAAACCAGTGCCGTGCACAGGAAAGGTATAATGAATGACAAGCTACTGATTGAAGATAAGACACCCACATTATTCAATTAATGTTGTAATGAGGTGCCATAGCTTTCTTCACATGCCCTATAGTGTTTCCAATATCAGCTTCAAGGTGTTTTCAGAATAGTGAGGTTAAACCTTTTCATAAGAATATTTTTGGACTTTCCTCAACTATTCAAACTTAAATATCTCCAAAATGAGTGCTCTGATAAAAATTCCTTAAGAGACAAAATTTATGGAAAATTGAATGATATTTTATAAAATGCACTTCTTTCATCCGAAAAGGCTGGTAGCGTAGAAAATATTTCCTACTAGGGGTCTAGGTACCCCAGCTTCTCTAGCGCTGGTTTAGTTTGTATCGGGAAATACTGTGTGTTTGTTGCTTATGATGTGCTCACTGAACATCTTAAATCTTAACTCGGCATCTTTACCCGCTCCGTAGATATAATTTTTTCGCATACCCTATATCAGTCCATTATACAGTGGAGGAGGGGGCGGGGTACGTATAGGCTTCCGATCAGAATAGTAAGAAAATCAATCATCACAAATACTATAGTAAGGTAAGGTGTGTATTTGTTGTGTTATGTTGAAAAGTGTGTATTTCAATAGTGAGTGGGGCGTAAGGGAGTGGAAAGATCACAAACTTGCAAAAAACGTGACCTTGACATTCTTGAGGGTATTTGATTTTTGTTTAATTGCGATGAAAAAAATTCAAGGTTAATAATATTTATAATCTGCCGATTTCAATAAACCGAATTATGAAAAATTCGTCAATAAAGCTCAGTACGTACAGCTGAAGTGGCACCTTGGTACCTGTATTACCCCACTTTGCGGCTTTCTAACTCTTAATAAATTCTATTTTCAGTCATAACCTCATAAAAGAAATAGCGTCAAGAGATTTACTATATACTTCCTACACCTTCGTTGGAGGTTTCGGGCGTAATTTAATCGTGACTAGTTAGGTTCACTTAGGTACGATGAATCTTCGACCTCTACATATCAGACTATATAAATATTTAATAGTTCACAAGTCTTCTGTTACTTGAAGATATCTGAATCACGCAAGTTCTAATTTCTCATTTATGTCGGTTCGTCATTGCATGTCGTTTATCAATACGTAATAAGTACTGAGTCAATCTACTTGACGAAACGTTCAGGAAACTCATCATATATGTACTGAGTAACACAAATTAAAGGTTAGGCGAAAAGAGCGAGTACATTTAAGTCTCATAAAATTCAGAAAAATATATGTGTCGATTTAAAAACAATAAATCATCATTTACAAAAGCATCGTAGAACGCTAAAGCCGTACGTATTCCTAATATGTACCGAAATATTCCTAAAATACGTAAATACTCCCCTGTAGCAGTGCTTCCCTGTTGACATAGAGTTCGAGTTAGCTACCTATTTATTGGGACGATTTTGGAAAACAACATAGATTTTGCGCCCTCGGCATCGTAGTAACATTGTGCAAAAATTCCATCAAAACCCGATCAGTACTTCTCGAGTTATAGACGGTTATAGGATTAGCAGACAGACCGACAGACACACAGATCGGCGGAAATGAGTGATAAGGTGTCCGTGATGTACATGTCATCTAACATCTGAAAACTATAATATACGTATACTCAGTGACATTATAAGTGTTACACCCAGAAAAAATAACTTCTACTTTTTTTTTTCAACATAATGACTATATTTAAAGCATGCTGTGGCAACAATGTCAAGGTTTTATCTTTGTTTTTGTTTACCTTTGTTAAAATGTTATCTGTTAGTTTTTGTCAAGAAAGCAGTTTCAGAGAGCCGAGTAGTACAGATATTTTTTGTTATTGCCCTTTTATTCACTACTGCATAACAAAATGCCTTGATGTTGAAGACGTTCAAATTATCACCGTGTTAGCGACTTTTACAGGGGCCGCCGTGTTAATTGTATTACAATGGCGGTAATGCGTGGGTGTCGTGGGTGGATAGAAGAACTTAGAGCAATACGAAGAAGGCCAACTGGTCCACCGATGCGTACCACAAAGTCAAATACCAGAATTGATGCCAGTAGCAGAAGTAATCGTGCGCCACTGCTTTGACGCTGTACCTTTTGATTACGTTTACCGACATTTCACAAAGAAGCGCCGCATTTTCGAATGCCTCCGCGTAATAGCAGTGGCGTACGATGAGTTTCGCTACTGTCATCAATTTTCGTATTTTACATGTACACAGGACTGTTGGAGTAATGGATTGGGGGGCCGATCACCCCTTCTCTTTCTGATGGAGATGTCCTACAAAACAGTTTTCTGCCGCATCTAGAGGGCCGTCCACACGACCTTTTTCAGCAAAACAACGCACGTCCCCATGTTGCTCGTCGTACTACGGACTTTTTTCAAGAAGCAGGCGCTAATGTTTTTCCGTGGCCCGTTCACCGGATACAAATCTCATCGAACATGTGTGGGATATGATGGGGAGGAAATTATCCACTTTGCACCATTCGCCGCAGACTCTGCTACCGCTAATCCACGATATTCGAGTTGCTTGAAATGAGGTGCCACAACCAGATTTCAATCACTGTAACACTTCTAATGTCACTGGGTATATGTATAAAAAGCCCAGTATACAAAAAATCGTGGATCAAAACAAACACGAAAAGCAGATAGAGGCGGCGATCGAGAGCTTGTGCTTGTTTTGATGGCGGTAAATGAGGCTTCAACAGACTTTAGGTCCCTAAAGTAAGCCAAAGCTTCTTCAAACTACTAAAACAACGTGGTACCTACATACATGGTGGATCGATCATATTACCTGTTTTTCTATTCTCTGTGTCAATATATTGATATCATTTATTTGTTTTTCTTGGTCTTTAGTGAATTTTCGTTCAGATTCTTTCAGCTCATTTCTCAACATGGCAATGATTTCATCCTTTTGCCTGATCAGTAAGTCGCACTTTTCCTTTTGACTTGCTATGTCTTCGTGGATATGCAGAGGATCGTTGTATTGTTGAATTTTCGACCATTTTTCGGCGATTTCGCGGAATTTTTCCGTAGCTGCCTCAGCTTCCGCGTTCAGCTGATCTATTACTTTTTCTCTACCTTTGAAAAAAACATCATTATAGTTAATAATAAATAAAAATAGGCGTTACTCTTATACAACAAACTTCCCACCACGGATTTATCAAAAACCACTGATTAAAAGAGAAAACGCGGGGACATGTCAAAGGATTTGTCAAGGGGGACAACTTAAACATACCCACCCCTTTAACTTTCTGCCCCAGGATAATAGCTTGTTTGAAAGATCTTTTGAAGTCCCTTACTTCGACGTTTGATCTTTTTTTAAATCGGTCAATAGCTTTCCAACAAAATTAGAAAAACCTTTATTTATGATGAACGATTTGTTTTTTTCACGACATAATGACAAAATTTATTGTGTGACTGTGGTACTGAGTTATAAATGATTGCAGCATTATATGAAAAACCATGTTTAAACAATCTGTAGCTGGTTGAATACGTAATCAATGATTTTAGTTTGCTGTGGTATTACAATAATTTTGTTTCTAATGGCCCTCCTATGAATTCACTTATTAAACATATTATTTTTCTTGAGATATTGACGTTAATAATTTATGTATAAATATTGAATAATGGGATTTTACAAGTAGTAGTAGTCTAAAGATAAATCGGACACAATTCGTCGCTCCAATTGTATCTCAAAAACTGCAACTTTTTCTGGAGGCACTTACAAAGTGTTGTTTTATGTTTGGACTGGAGGTGGATGAATGCTTTTGAGTAAAACTTACAGTTTTTTTCTTGTGGTTCAGGTACCCTTTTTTATATGCTTCAAAATTCAGCATATTTATATTTTTTTCGCCTGTTTTACTTATTCAAATTTGTTGGACGTTATTCTACTTTTGACATATTGATCTCCAACCACACAAGCGGGAGCACATTTCGACATCGGACATCGCAGCCATTTGAGAACAGACGTATACGCGTGGATAATATTCCTACCAGTTCTTTCAGCTCCTCTTCGATTGATTTTAACTTATATACGAAATGGGGGTAATTTAAAGAGTTAGACGTAGATGGGGTTAATTAAGTTTGTTGATCAGTCTAAAGTTATAAATAGATAAAGATGTCAATTGCTGATCAGCATCAGCTTTCCACGTCAATAGTCAAAACGGGAGGAACTCGTGAAAAATAGGATTATATCAAATCAGTCTTGTTTCCTGTCTAATTTTGACACTTTGACCGCGCGATAATAGAGCTTTTAGTGCAACAAAACTAACGACTTCTGAGAGTCGTTACAGATTGACTACTATTTTCCACTTTGACGTGAAGCTGACCCCAAAAATTTCAAACCTTTGTTATATTTTTTCATAGAAAAGTTTCGGTAATATATATGTCCAGACTAGACCTGAAATGAGCAAGTTTAGAATCATAGATCCACATAACGAAAAGTAACCACAAACAGCAGAAGTACAAGAAGTACATGTATCTTGCCACGTTGCATACATAACAAAAATCAGGATGATTCAATTTATTTAGAACTCTGTCTATTTCTTGTATTTATTTTTATCAGTGACCCAAAGTTATATTTCCATTATTTTAACCAATACGTTTTTTGTAGCTTAAATGTTCTACCTGAAGATAGTTAACACAAATGCTATATTCGCGCATTCAAAAAATTATCCGAGATGAAATGAAATGGCTATCTTCGGATAGAATACGTTAATTAATGGTAATATTGAGTTAGTCTACTCAACCTGATTCTTTTATGAATGTTCTGAAATTTTCCTACCGATTCCTTCAGCTTCTCTTCGAACAGCTTCACGAGTATCACTAGCCACTCTTACATTCGTAATATATTCGTCAGCCTCTGTAATGTACTTCTGTAGAATCTCAGCACTTTTCTGTTTCTGTTGCTCTACCGGATCAAGTTCAATCTCGTTTGTGAGCTCCACATGCCCCATGGTCATCCTTTTGATGGTGGTCCATCTTCTTTCTATCCTGAGTCTTCTCGCTAACTTTCTTTCATTGGGATCATTCGAAGCTACGCGAGGTTCGAGGTTCTTCACCTGCTCTTCTAACTGCGCCGAGTTATCGTTATCCATATTGCCAAAATCATATACTTATCAAAAACGACAAAAATGGTCTAAAATGATTGACTTTGAGGTATTACTCATTCCACGACAAGCGTAATAGATTGTTACCGTGGATTCATAATGGCTATCGATCAAACATGTCTATGTCTGCTTCTAGGGTTTTGGAAGGCGCAGGACTGAGCGGCACAGGTATTACGTATCTTGAAAAGTGACGTTATATCGATTTTTTACGACATACTGTTTTTTGACATTATGTAGGTTTTTCGACGAGATACTAACTTAGCACTAGCTGATGGACACTTTTGTAAACCCATTTTGTAGTTGTAGGTGTTGCCTAAACGTCATGAGGCTTCAGTTATCAATGTTTGGCTATGATGTGATGTACAATCTGCTTCAGAGATGGCATTACTGGAGGTAACAGCAGAGTGAAGATTTGTGTGCTAATAATATGTATTGATGATAATTCCATTGGATTCTTGTCTCAAATACACTTACTCGAGGTTCAAAGCTAGAAATTAGCTGCGCATTCACTTTTTTTATCCATTCTGGAAATTTCATATGCAAATTTGCTGAATTTCAAAAATAAGAAATAATTATATTTGCTGTACACTGTCGAATGACAAGTCATATACATGCTAACAGTAATTACATACAACGCGGGCGCGGAGTTGATTTCCCGTAATTCTCCTCTAAGTTTTTGAAAACACAAAAAACGTAAAAAATCGTATTTGATAACTTCCGAAAGGACAACATTTAAATAACCCGTCGGGCACAGCTAATAGATATACTTTATTTGCAGCATATTCAGTAATGATTTTCTCATACAGCAAATATCGCTGATTTTCTACACATGCAGATCATACACATAATCATCCAGATGCGATCTTGCTATTCAACCAAATTTCTTCTCAGAGTTGAAAACTACATACTACTCGGCTTCACAAAACATATGCAACCAACAGTGCGTGTAGTTGAGTCATTCCTACATACACTAAGTGACATATAAACCCGAACACCCAGTTTAAATGGTTTTATTTTAATAAAAGTTGGTGAATGTATTTATCTTACTGTAAATAACAAGTGAAAAAATGTTCAGCCTTATCAGTTGGACATTCCGGTTTTTATACTGCTTTTTTTTAATTCACTAACGCTCTAAAAATGAATATTTCAGCCGCAGTAAAGAATCAACGTTGACGGATTTTGGTACTTGACATCCTTTACGATCGGTTACGATGCCTAGAGTACGGAGAACTGTACGATTTCGTCAACTTAGTCAGTTTGATAGGGGCCGTATAGTGGGACTTCGGGAAGCTGGACTTTCTTTTCGGGCAATTGCAGTTAGAGTGCAAAGAAGTGTAGACACTGTGGTTAGGTGTTGTCAGGCATGGCTTCGAGAAGGCCGTACGCAAAGAGCAAGAGGCACTGGACGCCGCCGTAGAACAACAGACCGTGAAGATCGCCGCCTAAGATTATTGGCCTTAAGGGACCGTTTCTCCACTACCAGGTCCATTGCAAATGAATGGTTTGCAGAACACGGAAGACCTATTGGCATGCGAAGTGTTTACCTACGAATGAGAAGTTTTGGCTTGTTTTCATACCGGCCACACTGGGTCCTCCCTTTAACTCGAGAACACCGACGTAATCGCCTTGAGTGGTGCAGACAACGGTCACTCTGGGATCAGGAATGGAACAGTATTGTCTTTAGTGACGAGTCTCGATTTTGTTTAGGCATGCACGATGGTCGTGCCAGGGTTAGAAGGCGACGTGGTGAAAGGAGGAATCCACAGTTTTTTGTTGAAAGACATGTTCATCACACTGTTGAAGTTATGGTTTGGGGTGCTATAGCTTATGGTTCCAGGTCACCTTTAATCTTCATCAGAGGTAACATGAACGCGCAGCGTTATATCCACGAAGTTCTAGAACCCCATCTTTTACACTATCTTGACACCCTGGCAGATCCAACTTTCCAACAAGATAATGCCCGACCACATGTTGCAAGAGTCACAATAGACTTCTTTCAACATAATGATGTCACATTGTACCATGGCCACCAAGATCTCCCGACTTATCCCCAATTGAGCACGTGTGGGATATGATGGGTAGGAGATTGCTCAATTTGCAACGTCCTCCTCAGACTCTAGAAGCACTTCGAGAGGAGTTGGTGGTTGCCTGGAATGAGATACCACAGGAGGACATTGACCACCTGATCAAAAGCATGCCTAGGCGCGTTGGAGAATGCGTAGCACATCAGGGTGCATCCACACATTATTAAAGGCCAAAGGGCTTTAAAGCAGTGCAATGATTTTGAAATTTTTATTATTTACTTATTATGTTTCATTAAGTACTTATACAAAATTTTATTAAAATAAAACCATTTAAACTGGGTGTTCGGATTTATATATCACTTAGTATATTTTCGATGCACGTTACTGTTCTCATGTCGCTCATTAATTATTTCTGCTGTTCTATTAGCGCACTGATTATTTCCGAAAAATATTTCGATAATTTCAACTCTTTCTGCTGTGGAATATACCATGGTTAATTTATGTAATAAAGCATTACATGTTTTTTAGCAACAAAGTTTGGTCAAATCGATCGCAAACTATAACAAGTGACATATAAATCCGAAGATACACAGAAGATATCACAAAAACTCACAATCCTATTCGCATTATTGCACATAAAGTTTATTGGTGCTTTAGATAGAAGATTTGTCTGCGCCCTCTTGAAGTAAAACGAAACTTTATATTTAGATGTCAATCTAGGTACCAGGAAATTAATTTGCGATAGCAAAACAGGACAGTCGATGTTACCATGCAGTAATTTGTATAAAAATATGATGGACGCCTGCTCTCTGCGCTTTTCCAAAGAAGGGACGTCAAATCTATTCAATAATTGTGAGTAGTCACATCCTCTTGGAGGATAGACACCATCACTTTGCGACTGGCATTGCGTCGTTCTCAGATTTTATTTTTTGCTTTAAAGTCGCTTTTCTCTAAAAAAAATCTATTTTGACAACCATGTTATATCAAACATTTTGCTTCTTTTAACCCCTTCTATCACCCCTTTAAACAATGACTATCATAACGTTTATACCCTGTATTCATTATAAAATATAAAAGAAAAGCACAGCAGGCCTATGTTAAGCACATGTAAGCGCCCTTCATTGACTTAAATATGGATGCATAAATAAAAGTTCTTTCCATTCCGTAACGTCAGCAGTGACTCCCTTATTGGGAGCGAGAAACATTCTAACCATGGTTGTGAACCACTAAGACCTGATGCTCGAGTGTTTCACTCGATCACCATAACTGATCCACTTCACCGCTACTACACCAGCAACGTCAAACTACCATGGCATAAATGTTACTGTTTTTGGCCACGACTTTACTTGTGTTTGGGTCTATATGGCAACTATGTTAAAAAAATGTAAAAATGTTCATATTTTAGTTTGTGATACAATTTACATTCATAAGTAAAATTTCTCCGACTCGATTACAAAACGGTTCTTACTTAAAAAATGATCCTCGTATAAACTTCAGTGCTACTTTTTTTGAACGACTTTATTTTTCTCCGCCTGATACAATTAATCTAAGTAGTGATGGCTGAGGTTTTCCAGGGGTTTGCCTCGCCCAAGTGCGAATGCAGACCAGAAACCAAATTCCCCTAATTAGAGAAGATGAAAATCATAGTTCTCCTATTAGTGATCATGTAATTTAAGATCAAATAGATATTAAATATATTTATATAGTAAAACTTTTCATAAAAGACATAGACAAAATAATATTTTATCCTATGAAAGCCCTGTGTCATCATCTGTCAATGACCGTGTCTAGGATCCCGCCACACAAATTCCACTCATTCTGCTACGCTATATAGACTAAATTCACATGACCGGATCCCAGACACAGCCACCGACAGGTCACCGACCACCAGCGTTGCCAACCCCATCCGAGAGAATAACTGTATATGAGAGGGTTGTTATGTTTTAATTAAAATGTTTAAAACATTAAAACGGGCGTTTTAAACACTGTTTAAAACAATGAAGGTATTTTAAGCCAATTTGTTTAAAACTGTTTTAAACACTGTTGACTTTTTGTCGTTTGTGAATTATTCGTTTTTTATATTCTTTCAAGTATGATTAAAATTGATTTTATTTTGCAAAACGAAACTAAAAGGGCCATATTTTAAAACACATAGGTACTAAAGAATATACTTTATTTTTTATTAATTAAACGAACATGAAACTAAGGAACTAACACTAGTGGAAAAAATATGTTTCTTAACGAACGAGGGAACTTAATAAACGGCACTGAACTCTAATACTAGTACACTACCAGCAGCAGCATAATCATATATGACTATGAATTTACTTGTATAATAGCATTGAATAAATTACTCAACCAATTTCTATAAAAGTATACAATCCATCTTATTTAACAAAAAATCAAAAAAATCCTTAAATCCATATTTTTAAAATACAAAATAATTAAAAATGTACATAGAATAAATTTTTAGTTTTCACTACTTTTTACGGAACTCCAAGTTAAAAAAAATGTAATAATCTACTTTTTCTCGCTTTGATTTAGGTATTCAAATACCGTACCTAAATTTGCCGCTTTTTCTGTGCCCAACTTATTACGTAGTTTGGTGTGGATTCTCCAAAATGAGGAAAAAATATGCAGAAATCCAGCAGATGAAGTAGCTGCTGTATGAAACTGCTGAACTAGGTCAACTGTAACTTCATTCAAGTTATCTTTCAAGGACTACCACCAAACAAATGGTGTGAGGCCTTTCAAATTGTCTTGAAAAAATAATCCTTAATGGTGATCTTTTTGCCTGATAACTTACAATAAAAGGCATCTCTTCAGCATAATAACGAGAGGCATACTCAATACCTTCTTCGCGTTGCTCTAGATTCAAGTTAAGTCCTCGGGATCGATGATCTAGTATATTTGCCAGATAGAGTGCTGGATACATAGCCATATGAAACCTTTTTACAAAATGATTTCCATCTAAATCAGTGCATTTTTCATTTTCTTTAAAAACGGCAAATCTCTGTGCATTCGCTAATTGTACAGTCATCTCGTTGAATCTTATCTAGGGCAATTGCTATTTGTTTTAACTTTACTAAATAGTCCTGGACATTTATTTTTAAATTTAAATAATTTTTTCCGAGATA